GTGGATCTAGATGGTTATCTATTTACTGCTTTTAACTTTTCTGTATACTTACATTTCTTCAAAGTTAAACATAGTCTTTCAATTTTTAACTTCACTGAAATCACTGACAAATTCTTCTATGAACACACTTCTGGAAATACCAAGATGTAACCTACTCTGGGGATGAGGATCTCAGTGGTAAGAGTACTTGCCTAGTATGCACATGGCCCTGGCATCAATCGCCAGCGTGGCAAAAATAAGAAACAATCTCTTCTCCCCTGTGCTAGAATATAATAGTGACAAAACAGACATGGCTCCTGCTTTCATGGAACCCACTTAGCATATGTTTAATTCTGAGTGTTGGGAGCAGGAATGGCTGTACTAGAAGTTTCCCCCAAGTGTTGCCTGAGCTGCTCCCCCGCAACAAGACAAGTAGATGTTGCCTAGTTATAGGATGGTGGGGAAATGGGTCAAGGTGTAGAGGTACTAATGGTGAAGCTGGTCCATCTACAGAGAGGCAATATTTTCTGCTGCTTCCTCCGAGCCTCCACCCTTTTTATCTGTTTGTCTCCTGGCTCCATTAATCACTCCCTCCCCCTCAGCCTTTAGACTTAGCCAGGAGGAAGTAATGTCATCCTTCTACTAGTTGCAATGCTACTGCTCCTAAGAACTGTACTCTCTCTTGGGATTTGTTGACATCCTATACAAAAAGTCACTTTACTCAACTTTCCTCAATTATCTGATTTCCTGTTGAGTATGGGGTGGAACCCCTGTAATCCCAGGACTGGGGAGGCTAAGGCAGGATGATGACGAGTTTGAGGCCAGTCTGGGCTACATAGAGACACTCGTCTCAAAAAAAATAATTACCCAATTTCAGTAAGGTAGGTATTTCCTGCGAGCACCCTAGCTCTACAAATAGATCTGACAGATGCCTGCATGTCTGAGATGGCATTTGGGGCTGTGGTACTGGAGATAGGCTGAGGATGAACCCTGGACCAAAGCATCTGAGGTGATAAAAAAAACCTGGAAACTCTATCATCAGCCTATCAGTCAAGAATATTTAAAAAGGACTGGGGGCGGGAGGGATAGCTCAGTGGTAGCACACAGGCACAGAGGCCTTGGGTTCGAGCCTCAGCACAGGAGGAAGAAAAAAACCCCATAATCAAAAAAAAAAAAAAAAAAAACCACAAAAAAACAACTTCAAGAAAGGAAACTGGTTGTACCAAATGCTAGAGAAGGTAAATGAGTAAGATGAGGGCTTTGGAATTTCCAATGAGGAAGCATTCAGTGACCCCTGCACTGGTGGAAGCAGAATCAACAGTGGGTGGTTTGTGTAAGTAGCTAAAGGCCAAGAATACACTTGTTACTTTGAAAAAAACACCATTCTAACTGTCCAGGTTCCTATTTTAACACTACCAGAGATTTGCTAAAGAACTTGGGGGTTTTGAGCCTTAATTGTTGAGACTTAAATATAAATAAAAATGTAAAGCAACTATTCTTTTGTGCAGTTGTAAAAATGAGCTAACCTGGACATGGTTAAGTTACCATAAGCAATACATAAGAATAGATGTTCTAAAACATAGTAATTTTCCCCTTTCAGACACCGAGACAAAGGGCAGACTCTAACAAATTCTTCTGTCTCTCTAAACTGAATGATTAAGTTCTTTCACACTGAAGTTTGCAACTAAGTTTGCCCAAGACTCAACATACAATAGCAACTAGCTTCTATCTAGCATGTAAGGAATTTAATACCTAAAGCATTCTCATGATTACAATGAGTAACCAAACTCCACAGCTTCAGAAATTGTTAGGACTCTGGTTCCTTTCTTTGGGAACATGAGCCTGTGAAATTATCTATCTTTGATCCAATTTTGTTTTCTCTTCCCTTCCCAGTTCACAGAACAGCACACAAACATGATTGCCAGGGCATTGCTAAATATGGGACATTACAAAACTGTTTTAGGCCTACTGAATAAAAAGGTTCTCTGGGCATCTTCCATTTGTCACTGCAGAGCAAGCAGTGGGTTCTGGTTACCTTAATTTTTAGGGAATCCAGTTGTTTTATTGAACTTCCAGAAGACACTTTCTCCACAAGCACTTTCAATATTATCAACGTTAAAAAAACTGAACTAATTTAGACAAAGCTCAACCTCGGTGCAAGGGTAAAACCTCGCCTCTCATGTTCAGCCTTCAGCAAGAGGGGAAGCAGAAGAGACACTTCCACATGAGGGTTAAGATGGCACTACTACACCATGACAATTGGGGCCAGTTTTCGGAACAACGGCTTTGGAATCAGAAAAGCAGAACTCTACACCTCTACTAACTCGCCTGTGGATGGGTTTTCTTGTTTTACATTGCAGATTCCTTAAGCAATGTTTAAAAGAGCCTGTCTCATGGTAATGTTTCATGATACAAAAACAGTTTACTTGCTACACAGAATGATTGCGTTATAGGTAAAAATTATGACACCATGGCAAACTCTAAGGTGCATCCCCATGAAGCCACATCCTGCCTCTGGTGTCATTCTCCCAGTGGATGTGGGCAGGAGGACCTGAGATTTCTTCTTGGTAGTAGACTGGTTTTGGATACTTACTGAAGTAAGGAAGCCCAAAGTAACCCTCCTGTAGACAACTAGTAATAAGTCTGGGCATTGGGTTCTACAGCTGCAAAGAGGAATTCTGCCAATAACCTAGTTGAGCTATTACCAGTGAGAATGGCAGCCTTGCTGCTGCCTTGCTAGCCATGAACAAAGGACTCTGCTCAGCCATGCCCAACAGAAACAGCAATAGGTACAGGTAACTGTCGCCTTCCCACAATTCCAAGTTAACTTGGTAACTTCACAGTAACTACGCTAGGTGCCAGCAAAGCATCTATCTGAACTATTCCAAAGTAAATTTAAACATGATCTACCTTTCCTAGGTAATAAAACAATCTGTAAAACTTTGCAATAGATTATACCTCTTGAGATGCCTCATAATTCTGAAGTAAATAATTCTGTACAATGTTTTACTCAAACAGTTAATAAGGAGCAGAGGTAGATATTTAAGAGTCCAAGTCTAAAACTTCTGGAGCCAAAATCCACTCTTCCAACTTTTATACTTTCTCTGAAGTCTCAGTGATGCCTCCCAGCACACCCATAGATAATAATGAAACCAGATCACACATTCAAGCACTGGGAACATTCTGTTCTTCATTGTTAAAATTATCTTAAGTTAATCACTGTGCACGTCTATTAAAATATTCTTTATTCTAAAGGCTAAAAAAATATTCCTTGCCTCTCACCACTTGTTAGGTAGCACAAAGGGCTTAAACAGGGTATCTGTGAAGACCTACAGTGTTAGTTATTCTTACCAGACACTTAACAGAAAGCCACAAAACAGCTTTTATTTTCTAGTAAGACTAAATTTATTCAATACCCTAGCAAAAGTTTGATTATAAGTATCCAACAGTATAAAAAGTACAAAACAGATTTGTAGGTTTCTAATATATTAATACAAAGTGCATGACTACATACCGTACATCCTACAGGCGAAGAAATGTGGAAGGGGAAAAAGAAGACTGTGGTTGAGGTCTAGTAATAAATAAATAAATACAGAAGTAGAGATGATCCACATTATAGTATATTCTACCACCAATACTGCAGCCAAAATGTACAAAAAAAAAAAAGAAAAGGAAAAAACCATTTCAAAGTAACTCAGGAGGATGATAATGGCTGGACTCTTGTAATTCACCTCAAAGGCTGTGGGAGAGCCGACCCAACTCACTGTAGTCTGTGCATATAGTGGCTTCTAGCATGTAGGTTTTTTTCCAAAAGGAAGAAATATAAAATGTTAAGCTTAGATTAAGAACTATAAAACTATAGGGTGCCCATAAAAAGAGGCTCACTCCTTATTGTGATACTATCTAATTTTTATAATCCAGTTTCAAAAATAACCACTGAGTCTTGATATCATAAAGCAGGCAATGCTGCTCCCTCGTTATGTAAAGTCTGAACTGGAGCTTTTTTTCCTGAACTTCTAGAAAAGAGGCAATGAGAGTACTTTGGTTTGGGTTCAAGTGAGAGGCTTTGAATGAGGATTTTAGACCTTAAGAGTTCCACATTCAGAAAGCCCAACTAAAAGAAGCCAAACCAAAACCAGCATACCTACCATTAACACACACCTCTTTTTCCTGCAATAAATTTTACTATTAGTAGAGTGAAAAATACCCCAAACCCTAATAGGTTAAAACAAGTCAACCACCTACTCTACAGGATAAAACCTTCACAAAGGTCAACTGAAGTAATCCAGAGCTAAAACTGAATTGTGCAGATTTCAATGAAGTCACCAAATAGTCATGTAACACAAATAGCATCAAGTATTTACACACTGGGCAAGCCGTCTAAGAAATGCGCCCCCAGAAGCACTAGCCTCTGCTATGTGCCACCCTGAAGGCTTGCACATTTTATTTAGATAGTTTAACATTTCTAACTGTATGTATTCTCTATCATGTGGCAATGCTTTGGTACTCTACATAGGATCTTGCCTATCCTACAGACTTGCCATTTCCCTAGGAGGAGCTCTGATTCTGCTTTAGAAGTTCCATATAAATTAAAATCTTTATCAAATAGTAATATGATAGGTTGTGACATAAGATGTAATGTCCACATCAGGCTACCTGTGCATTTAGAAATTACTTTCCCCTTCAAAATATGTGCACCGGAAAGCTCAGTCTATCCTGCTTAATAATCAGTAGTACAGATTTGAATCATCAGAACCTTGGCAAGACCTTAATATTCCAAAATTATTAACAACTACCTCTAGGGGCAAGTCACATAACTGAGTTATGACAAATTTATTATCATGAGGGAAAACAAGTGTTGCCAGCCATCTTAAAAATGCCCCAACCACTGCTTCTCAATACAGAAAGACTAAAACTACATCAGTTTATCATACAACAAATCCCATCTCTGTCCCCTGAAGTTCCCCTAATTTAATTTATTAAAAGGGGATTAGAAAAAAAAAAAAAGACTTAAAGAGCACTTTACAGCAGCATTCAGCTTTCCTATGAAATACTCAGCATCTTAAATATTATGTACACTTCTTTTTTCTTATAGTAAGCTAGACACTGGCTTCAGAGTTTATGGTACTGGGGAAAAATAACCCATTCAAAACTATTCTAGAAAAATGTCTTTTGGCAGAATAGCAGGTATCCAAGTTAAAAATAGGAAGGTCAAGTTTGTTTCTTTGTGGTCTTTTCACAATTTAAATCACTTTTTGTTCCCCTTTTACATGAACCTCAGTCACCACTCCTGAGTGGAGATGGGCAGGGGCTCTGGCCCCTGCTCCTCCGGCTTCTCAGCAGCTGCCTTCTTATTGCTGCAGCACGGCTTGAATAGATGTGTGTCAATGAGGACTTCCCCAAAGCGGCCTTTGTAGATGATCCCACAACATATTTTCTGTCTAAAAGAAAAAACAGAATATATTAATAAAGTAAAAACACCTACCCATCATTTTAACTAATCCAACATGACCAAAAGTTCTGTTTCTATACTCTTATTACATCACAAGTGACAGGACTTCTAAAGGGATGACAATTAACTAGGGTACCCAGGTACCCTTAAGCCACGCTGAAATTTTCTCAAATACTGGCAGTTTCAGAGGCTGAAATTGTTAACAATTTCCTCCAAAACTAACAACTCTTGAACAGCCACCATAAACAAGCTGATAAAACTGGTTTTCTATAAATACTAAATAGATGAAAGTATGTATTATCCAACAGACTCCATCTTATTCTCTCATTCCCTTTCTTTTTTACATTTCATGGTTTTGCTACATGTTTGCATCTCTAAATGCATTGCTCATTATTCATTATACAGAGTCACAATGTAGTCTGAAACATCTTGCTTAACATTGAATAATTGGGATTCATACATACAGGACTTTATTAAATTTTAACATATATAATTCCAACCTGTAAACATATTAGTACTGTTTATCTACTCTTTTTTTTTGAGACAGGGTTTCACTATGTATCCCAGGCTGGCCTCAAACACATGATCCTCCTGCCACCACCCCAAAGTACTGGAATTTATACTTGTTGATTACATTTGGCCTCCATTTTTTTTGATGTTTAACTCAGGGCCTCACACCTGCAAGGTACGCATTCTACCACTTGAGCTACTCCATCAGTCTTGACTGCCAATTCATTTATTCATTCATTCATTAACTCAGGTCCTTGAGCTTTCTAGACAGGTGCTCTACCACTAGAGCCATGCCATCACCATACCACTCTCCTTTTGATGACTTTTGCTATTACAAACACTGCTGAACATAGCAGTGCACATATTCTAAAGGTTGGGTTATACTACTAAAATATAGGAATAGGAGACCTTCAACTTTTAACCAAAAATACCAATTATTAACACAGTTTTATAACTGTTTACACCCATGGTCGACATCTCATCTCCAACATCTGCCAACAGATGTTCTAGTTTTTAACCTTTCCACTGGGCACAAAATGAAATTTGAACTTGTATCTCCTTGATTACCAAAAAAAAAAAAATAAAAAATTTTTTCCCCCGAGATTCTAGAGTTTGAACGTTTGAACTCAGGGTCTACACATTGAGCCACTCCACCATTACTTTTTTGTGACTTTTTTTTCCAGATAGGGTCTCTCAAACTATTTGCTCAGGCTGGTTTGGAACCACAATCCTCCTGATCTCTGCCTCCTAAGTAGCTAGGATTATAGGTGTGAGCCACCAGCACCTGGCTGAGAATATTTCATGCTTTCATCTAATGAGCTATTTCTTCTGTATGACACCCTTTTTTCAAGTGTTCTATTCATATTTCTATTGGTTTGTCTTTTACTTATTTTATAGGAGTTGTTTACATATTCCATATACAAATATCTTGTTAGATGTGTTGATTTCTTTTTTTTTGCATTACTGGGCTTGAACTCAGGGTCTTCACTTTGAGCCACTCCACCAGCTCTTTTTCTGTTAAGAGTTTTTCGAAATAAGGTCTCGTGAAACTATTTGCCCAGGCTGATTTCACACTCTTATGGTATCATTTCATGCATTTAATTCATAGTTAAAATGCAATAAAACTTGATTTCTTTTATGCTTAGTACTTTGTTAAACAAAATCCTTTCCTGTTGGAAGCATGGCTCAAATGGTAGAGCACCTACCTTGCATGAAGCCCTGAGTTCAAACCTCAGTACCACAAACACACACAAAGTCACAATTCTTTCCTACCCCAAAATCATTTTCTATTTTAATGTATCTGCAATTGATACTTGTGTATGGTGTGAGTTAGAGATTCAAACATCAATTCTTCCACATGCATTCCATATTGACTCTGTATTCTATCCCACTCACTGGTTTATATTTTTATTCCTAGACCCAAAACATATTATACCAATTACTATGACTTTGTGATGTCTTGATTTCTCTCAGGCCAAGTATATGTACATCTTTCTCTTTCACTTTATATATTTTAAACCTAATTTGTCAAGCTCAACACATGATAATCGTTACAATACTCAGTTTTACTACCTTCATGAAGGTGGTATACCTTTACGATGTTATTCAATAATGTATGATTTTTATATTATTTCTCTGTAAAGGGCTTTTAAATTTATTACTAGGGCTTTAAAAGTATTTTCTACTGCTATGGTAAAAGATTCTTATAAAGTTGCCTGGACTTAAATTCTGTTCTATTTATGGGATATCCTTAAGTAAATTATTCTTCCTTATACCTGTTTGTATACAATACTTAATAAAGTTGTGGTAAGTATTAAATGAATTAATAAGCCATGTATATAGTACTTACTATATGCAAGGCACTGTTCTTTTATTATTACTACCACCACCACCATCAACCCACCTAACATTATTCTACTGGCAATTAACCTGCTCATGTATAATGTTGACAGTGAACAGTCCTTTGATATGCTCCTCATCTTAAGAGATGCTTTCATTTTTATCACAATTGAGTATGATTTTGGCTGTACTTTTTTTTTTCTTTTGTTTTTTTAAAGACAGGGTCTCCTATGCAGTCCAGTCTATTCTGGAACTTGCTGTGTAAACTAGGCTGACCTTGAATTCATGATCCTCCTGCTTCAGCTTTGTGAGCACTGGATTATAGTCATTCTTTTATAATAGCATTAAAACCAAATAGTTTTGTAATACAGCCCAGGCTGGCCTCAAACTTGCAAACCTCCTGCCTCCATCCTCCTAAATGCTGGGGATTATAGGCATATATCATCATGCCCAAAACAACCAACACATCTTCTTCTTCTTCTTTTTTTTTAATTTGTATTATACTTTCTTTTGGACCCATGGGCTTTTTAATTTGCAATTCTATGGGAGTTGGTTTTTTATAATTTTATTTTGTTAGATATATTTTTCATCCCTTTATTTTTAAACTTCATCTTTTATATCTGATAAATAGAGCTGTATTTTGCTTATTCAGTTTTTTTTCTTTTTCTTTCTTTCTTTTTTTTTTTTGTGGTACTGGGGTTTGAACTCAGGGCCTCACACTTGGTAGGCAGGTGTTCTTCCACTTGAGTTACTCTACCAGCCCCCAATTCAGTCCTTTTAACTGAACTATTATTGTTCCTATCAATTGTGATCAATGATTGATTCGGGTTTATTCTACCATACTAAGGACTGAACCTAGGGTCTTGCACAAACTAAGCTATATCCTCAGCCTATTCTATCATATTATTACTTTTTTTGTGTCCCACCTTTTCTCTATGGCCTTTTTTTCTCCTACTCAATCTAATTCCATGCCCTTCCCTTTTTTCTCTGCAGCCTTTCATGCTTATTTGTACTCTTTAGTAGTTACATAGTTAAAGTTACTCAGCAGGGGCTGGCGGTGTGGCTCAAGTGGTAGAGCACCTGCCTAGCAAGTATGAGACCCTGAGTTCAAACCCCAGTTCCACCAAAAAATAAATAAATAAAATTAAAAAAAAAAAAAGGTACTCAGTAAGTTTATTCTCAACAATGCAAATGACACTGGACACTTTTAACTCCTATCAGTTCTTTCATGCAAGTTAATTATTATAGCTATCGTGTAATTCTCTTTTCATTATCACAACTACTACCATTTTAAAAGTGTTTATTTAAATTTAACTAAAACATTCAGTACTTCTTTTATCCTTCTTTCATCTCAGAATTTCAATCCAGGATCTCTTTTCCTTTTGCCTCTGAGAATCAGCTTGTTGGCAAACACTATTTTCCACACACCCCGCCCCCAGTCAAAATTTCTTATTTGTTTGGGGTTTTTTGGTGGTACCTGGGGGACAGAGGGCTGGAACTCTGGGCCTCACACTTGCTAGGCAGATGCTCTACCACTTGAGCCACTCTACCACCCCCTTCTACTGCTTGAACAATACCTCCAGCCAGGTATATTTTTCTTTTAAAAGAAAGAGTATATAAAATCCAAACTCTACTCAATTCCTGCTTAATCCACCTCCAACCATGTGTGCTACCAACTGTTTGGCAAGTACCATTCAACTGTTACAGATACCTGCTGCCTGTAATTAAGACGGGTTGCTGCTGAATAGGGGTATTTTCTGTTACTTTTACCTTTTCCAGTATGTAAGATCTAAAAAGGAAAAAACTGGTGTTCTGTTAGAGCCAGAAGCCATCTCTGTATCTGAGCCATCATCTGACTGGTTACTGTAACAAGGAGACTGAGCTGGGGAGGCACTTGAGGTGGTACTGTGAGCATCGGAATCTGCAATAAAGATAAAAGAAAAAGATTTTCATTTTCATTATATGCAATTGCAGTTACAGATACTAAAAGACTTCTGATGGAACTGCATCCCAATAAACTCACTATAGTATATGCTAAGTTGAATTCATTTAATACACCTAACCTACCAAACATCATAGTTTACCAACAGAACGCTACAGTGTATCCCTTGTTTGTCCTTGTGACTGAGTAGTTGATGGGGAGGAGCACCCGCTTGATGCTGTGGCTGCCCAGCTGAGTGAGAATCAAACCACATGTGGTTAGGGAAAAGACAAAAATTCAAAGTACCATTTCTACAAGGTGTATTGATTTTACACCTTTGGAAAATTCAAAAAAATCTTAAGTCAGGGGCATATGACATAACAGATTTAAGATGTAAGTGAGTTGTTAAAAAAAAAATCACTATTTACACGACTGATACTTAAAGCTATTGTACTGACGTGTTTTAAAAAGAAAACTAGCCAGGCGCCAGTGACTTACACCTGTAATTCTAGCTACTCATGAGGCAGAGATCAGGAGGATCACAGTATGAAGCCAGTCTATGCAAATATCTTGCAAGACCCTAACTTGAAAGAACTCAACACAAAACAGGGCTGGCAGAGTGGCTCAAGTGGTGGAGCTCCTGCCTAGCAAGTTGACATGGTGCCCGACTAAGTCCCATTTGATATTTCCTCATATTCAGTAATACTGTTTATGCCAGTATCATCTCTTTCCATCAGAGCAAGATAGGTGTCTGCCAGATAGTGGATCACTGCAGGCCCATGGTCAAGGTTCAAGGAGCCAGATTCTCTCACTCTAAACAAGAAATTGAGAAATGAAGCTGCTGATTCAGACTCTGAAGTCTAGCCAGCTAATATAAAGTGAGGTACTATTCCGATTTTACCGATAATTTCTTATTGTAGATGACATATGGTATGATATGACTTCACTTTTTCAGAGAAGCTTCACATTGAATCCTGTTTCTATAAATAGTATCTCTCAGTTATCTGTTGGCTGGTACTCCTCACATTTAACTGATTCTTTCTTAACAATATGATGTAATGTGAGCCAAGTAGACTCTGTGTTAAGACAATTCTTCTGTGCCTTGTCCAGGTCAACTAAGCAGGCATTAATATAATCATTTCAATATTTTGCAGTTTAGCACGACTGTGATCATATGGGCTTACACTTCTGATCTTTCGATTTCTGTCTTCTGGAAACTTGACCACTCTATGAAGACAGCTAAGGGACTCATTTCTAATTTCTTCTGCCAATTGTGCTCTTTCAAGGGTTAATTCTTCCTGTGTCATCTTGAACCCACTGTCTCCTGTCTTTAGTTTCTAACCCCAACAATCATCCATTCTATTTTTTCAGGTTCATTCAAGTGTAGCAGCTGCCAGCGACAGCATCAGCTCCTCAAACTCCCACTAAGTGGAAGGATCACTGTGGTGGAAAGGAACTGGAGCTGAAATAGGGGGGGAAGGGGGAATTTAATCTCACAACTACTCCCCTCTTACGACAGGTAGATATTTTAGTCCAGAGATCAAATGGTTATTAAGTAGCTAGAAAGCACCAAACTACATGGAAAAAAAAAAGTTAAAGAAAAAACTTTTTTATGGAGCTCACAAGTTTATATTAATAAACACTTACATTAAATGGCACAACATTAGCTATCTAGCCAGGCACCACTGGCTCATGCCTATCATCCTAGCTACTTGGGAAGCTAAGCCTAGGCAAATAGTTTGTGAGACCCCCATTTCCAAAGCAGCCAAAGCAAAATGGACTGGGGGTGGGACTCAAGTGTTACAGCACCTGCTCTGTATTTAAACCCCTCCAGTCCCACCAAAAAAAATTAAATTAAATTAAATATCTAAAACAAAGTACCATTAGTGTTTTTAATGTTATTTCCAATAGATAGAGCATGCAACTTGATAAAAACAAAAAAAAAAACAAATGAAATCCTCAAGAGTGGCAGGCTTTAAAGAAATAAATCTAGTGTGGACTCAAAAACTTTCAGCTCTGGACTTGAGCAAAGCTCAGTATCCTAAGAAGTGCTTAGTATCTTTGAGCCATTTGAAATTTCAATTATTTACCATTGTTTATAAAAATCATAGTTTCATGCAATTTAATCTAATCAATAGAATATACAAATTACATACACAGTGAAGAACTCTTTTCTAGAATGTAGGTCTGGAAATTCTTCCAAGAACCACACCAACTGTAAAAGTTTTAAAAATTAAATAGGATTTGGAAAAATCCACCTAGAATGAGGTGGCAAGACTAAGCAAATTTCCAGGGAATGCTCCAGGTATGACACACCCTAACTATTATGCTTTCCCTAAAACAGAAAGATCTCTTAAGTCTTTCTAGGGATTTTCAATAAGATTTATTCTACAGCAAAAAATCACTGGAGATTTTGGGAAGGATGCTATAAAAAGATTAGTTAACATTAGTGTAAGAATTTGTTGTGCTTTGAGCTTGAGAACATGCTTATCATGCATGAGGGTTTGATCCCTAGCACCACCATTACCAAAAAAAAAAAAAAAGATACATGGAAGGAAACACAACCAGGAGGGAGACCATTTAGCAGATGTGTAGAAATTCAGATGTCTCAAAACTGTTCTGACTCTTCAACAAAATTAGAGATAAGGGCAGAACAGGTTCTGCCTGGAAGTAAAGGGTGGGAGAGAGAGGGTGGGGGAGGGGAGCAGGGAGGAGAAATGACCCAAACAATGTACGCAAATGTGAATAAATGAATAAAAAAATTTTTAAAAAGCTGTTCTGACATACACAGGCTCTAGCAATTCATAGTTTATCTGTGAAAACGCTGTCTCAGTCTCAAATTCATATACCTTATAAAAGGGACTGATTTTCCATCTCCAACACAGCTATGTCATAAAACATACAGCACAGCTATGTCATAAAACTCTAAAGGTGTACTGGACATATTATTTTAAATTAGGCAAAAGTTAGTTAACACCTTTGTCTATAACTAAGGGAAAAAGCTAAGAATATACATATGAATACTCAATTCTACTTTCAAATGATAAGAGAAAATTACTATTTCCCAAATGTTCTTTTTTGCGGGGCAGTACTGGAGTTTGAACTCAGGGCTTTCAGCACTCTATTGCTTGAGCCAACTGAATATATTCTTTAAAGCATGTAGTGAGGGGCCAGATGCAGTGGCTTATGTCTTCAGCTACATAGGAGGCACAGGCAGAATTGCAGTCCGAGGCTCTTCTTGAGCAAAAATGCGAGACCCTATCTGAAAAATAACTAAAGCAAAAGAGGGTCAGGGGAGTGACTCAAATGGTAGAGGACCTGAGTAGCCAAGAATGAGGCTCTGAGTTTAAAACCCCAGTACCACCAAAAAATAAAACATAGTGAGAATTTAGAGTAGGGTTAAATCCTTCTATACTAGAGGGTGAGGGAGGGTGGGTGAGACCAGTTAAGAAACACGCATAAACAAAACACACACATACACACATTTATGCTACCTAAATATTTTACTATAAATAAATGGAAAAAAGTATTTTCAAAGATTAAACTTATCATCAGAGTAACTAACTATGGGAGGACTATTTAATACCTACTTATACAAAAGTGCAAAGTAGACCTGGAAAGACCATGTCCTAGAGCATTGGCTAAACCCAGGAGAGCCCAGTAGGAATACAGAAAGAGCACATGGCTTTGAAGTTACACAAACCTACAGTGAACTTTATCTCTACCATTAACTAAGTGACCAGGGTCAAGATTAAATAGCCTTTCTGTACTTATTCTAAGGTCTACAACTGAGATAAATATATCAAAATTGCTCCAAAGATGAGTTCTCCCTCACTCTCCCACTATACCCAGTTAACTGTCTTTTACATCATTCTAAAACAAGCATGACGGTAATTTATCATTTTTGTTGTTGTTGCTGCTAATGGAGTTTGAACTCAGGGCCTAGGCAGGCACTCTACTATTTGAACCACCCCCACACAGTCCATTATCTTATTGATATTATTTTGTCTAACAGGTTCCTATAGATTAAAAAAAAAAAAAAAAAATCCTGAGAACTCACATATAAGTCCACACCCCTAATCATTATTTCTGGGAAAGCTCTGAAAATACAAAATTTATTCCTAATCTATTTGGCCACAAATGGATAACTCATAACCCAAGAGTGAGAGATATTATACAGGAACATTATATTTAGTACTTTACAAAATCTAAAATCTAAATTCTAAAATACAAATATACCATCACAACTACCGATAAAACAATGTGCATCTGGCATTACTGACATTCTTTCCCATTCCATCATCCTACACAACACAAATACCCTTAAACATAAAAGTCCAGAGACTGACTTTACTCCATATGTAAGTTATGATTTCTAAAGTTACATTCTAGAAATGTGAACTTCAGTTGCATATTTTCTACTACATTCACATGCTTCTGCTTTATCTCCAGGATTCAATTTTCTTATGCAAAAACAAGCGAGAAATACAACTGCTACAAAGACAAAGTTCAAAGTTAAGGATTGGAGGTATGACTCAAATGGTAGAGCACCACCTAGCCAGCAAGCAGGAAGGCCTGACCTCAAACTCCAGTATTGTCCAAAACAAAGAAAGTAAGTTAAGATGTCATAAGTTGTCCATAAAGACATTAGAGTAGTCTCAGTACATTCTGAAGAAGTGGTTAGCCTGTTAAAGTACTTTCATGACACCAAAATCAGATAGAGTTCTAAGACTTCACAGAAATAAAATGTCTCTATTAAGTCAACATTGTCTTCCAAGGCTTTTTTTAAAAAAGCAGTAAAGGAACTGGAAGCATAACTGGATGACAGAGCACTCTTGCCTATCATGTAGTCAGCCCTGCCAAAAAGAAAAAAAAAAAAAAAGGAAAAATTACTTGTTAGTACTAATGTTCCCCCATCAAACTTACTGTGCCGTTTAAACTCCTTCTGCAGCTTACTGATCTGGTTGCTTTTTATCCTGTTTCCAGACAAAGCTTTCACTTTCTTTGGTTTCAATGTAGTCTTTAGACTGGGTCCTGCTCTTGCATCTACCACCTGGAAGAAAATACTGAATATTTAATACCATTTTAAAAATGACACCAGTGTATATATGTATCCCTTTTGTTCAGGTCCATGCCTATTTAAAAACCAGTTTTATACTCAGTATTTCAGGGTTTATGCGTATCTTTAATACTAGCAGTTTCTTATTTACTTATTTTGGTGGGACTGGCATCTGAACTCAGGGCTGCACACTTACAAAGCAGGCACTATACTGCTTGAGCCATACCTCCAGTTAATATATCTTTAATCATAATATGATATAAAAGAATAAATGGACTTAGTACTAAGTTTTTTTTTTAATTCTTTCTTTGATGTGACTAATAGTAGGAGACTGCTGGAAAAAAATTTTAAATAGACTTAAGTATGGGTTAATCATTATTAGATGGCCCAACTCAACACAAGGAGAAGGAGAATCAAGTCTAACAACTATTACAGGACAATATTTTTGCAGTTTACAAAAAGCTTTCAAGCACTCTTGATTTTACCAACCAGCAATAAAGGGCTACTACTCTTAATTTTACATCAAAGAAAATCAAGGCAAAGAGAAATTATGCATGCTGCCTTTATGTTACTAAGCCAGTAAATAATTGAGGGTGACTGGGGAGGAGGACGAGACATAAAAACCAAGGTCTTCAGGCCTAATTATGTTCTTTTACTACATACCTTACTCCCTGACGTCAATTATGCAATGGCAGTAGCACATTCTTCCACTGTGTTAGCTATGTTTGGCCCTATTTTTTATGTACTCACTCACATAAGTATTTGCAGATTTCTATACAAAAACAAGGTTGTCATCACCTTCTAAAGTCACAATTTTATCTTCTTCAGATAAGCTATTAAAGCTTATTTAATAAGGTAAGAGAGCCATGGAGACCTACCATAATAATTTAGCATCATCGCCAAAGGACAGTGTAAGGGTAGTATAGATAAGATATAGAGAAAAATGTCTGCCTACTTAAAAAAAATGTTGTATAAGTTTCATAAATCTGAAAAGTAACATGAAAGAATTAGTAAGACTTGGAGCAAGAGCAGCTCAGTAGTCAAGCTTTTGTTTAACATGCTCCAAGGTCTTGGGTTAAACACCCAGCACGAGAAGGAGGGAAAAGAAAAGTTAGCAGTGTTCTGTTCATCAAAAATATATGAGCTGAACCTTTGTAAATGCCATAATGTACTCCCACCCAGCAAAGTAAAGAAAAAAAAATTATGAGCTGGGTGCTAATGGCTAACACCTATAATCCTTACCAATTGTGAGGCCAAGATCAGGAAGATCATGGTTCCAGGTCAGCCTGGACAAATAGTTCAAAAGACCCCATCTCCAAAAGAACCAGAGCAAAATGGACTAGAGGTGCAGCTCAAGTGATAGAGTGCCTGCTTTGTAAGCGTGAAGCCCTGAATTCAAACACCAGTTCTACACACACACACACACACACACACACACACACACAAAAGTTCTAGTGACATGGAAATATGAAAGGGCTTACTGAACACACAAATACACTGCTAGTTTGAACTCAACAAGATTTAAATATGAAATTTAACAACAGCTTCAACATAATGAGTGATTATATATGTTTCATTTTATATATACCATCTCATTCAGCTCTCAAAGTAGCTCTATGGGATAGCTGTTCTATTTGCCCTTCCTAAATAAATGTAACCTATTGCAAAATTCAAACCCAGATTTGAGTCCAAAACTTACGTGCTCATTAGTTCAAGGAAACATGTTATCCTGAGACATGAAAAAAGGATCCATGTCTAACGAACTCTTGGAATTAGTGGGTTAAGCCTTAAAATATGTGAATGTGCACTGCGAAATCTCCAAATGGGGTTTATTGGATTCAATCTTAGGAATTGCCATACCAGGCCATTCTATTCCAAGCATACCAAAATGTTAAGTGATTATATCTGAGCAGCAGCTAGTGTTTTTCTTCATTCTTTTCCACTCTAGGGATATATTGCTTCTTACATTATGGGGGAAATTAATGTTACTTTAATTATAACACAGGTATAATTCAGAAAGAAGAAAGATGAACTAACATGATTCCAGTTTTTTTTTGATCCTGCTGGCAACTTCTTCCATCTTTTCACAAGCAGAACACAGGCATTGCAGATGTCTCCTGAACGGGTCTCATGCAACCTGGTAAGAAAACAATCAAACCCTTATCAGGCTTCTTTACCTTTAAGAATTCATGCAAGGCCTAGGAGCATGGCTCAAGTTGTATGGAAGACCTGAGTTCAAATGCCAGTACCCATCCCCAAATCATGCATGTATTTCCATGCATGATTTTCCTTGGGAAAAAAAAATCTACTTATAGTTTATGGATACAATTTCTAATAATCCTGAATGATCTAGTTCCACTATTTCTCTAGTGTTATTTCAAAATAATAATAATAACAATAATAAACTTGTAAAGAACTAAAACCAATTCTATGTACTATAATTTGGTAGTTTAAAAATAATGACAAATAAATAATAAAATATTTTGAAAATTAAATAATAGTAATAAAGACCTAGAAGAGACCAGGTCACCTGGTTTTAAATAATGTCAACAACTCTCTCTTGAAATGTGTGTATATATTCATTAAGCAAGAAAATGCCACCCTTTATAGGTATAATAATGTGCCCTGGCATTATAGTTTCACAATAAACAAAACTAGAAGTGTAATTTTTAAAGTGGTTATAGCTGTATAGCTCTACAGGATTAGTTAACAAACTTTTTAAATTGTTTCTTTTAGGAACTTGCACTTACTACACTCTTTTTCTGTAAATATACACCACAGAATACTGATACTGGGCTAGGAGAGTGGCTGAAGCAGTAAGAGCCTAGCAAGCATGAGGCCTTAAGTTCCAACCCCAGTACGGGGGAGGGGGGATTATATTGATATTATGTACATAACTAGAACTCAAGACACTACAAGAAAAATGTAACTTAAAAAGACAGGGTAGGGCAGACTTCCTGACAACCCTCAAAATAATTTCTAAGTCTAGAATTAATAGTAAGTGATCAAATGTTTTGGTAAGAAAAAATATTAAAACTAATTTCTAAAATGGAAATGGTTTATTAAACATTTGTTTTATCCATATTTGTGGAAAATAAATTCCATCTTACTGAACAGAGGTTGTTGTCAAAAGATAAATGAGGAATAAATGTACGACGAAAATTAGTCTCGGGAAAGACTAGTAAGTCTCAGTATTGAAAGTTCAACAAGTTAGGTTAAACTCTATACAGTTCAGAAAGGGAATGCAGAAAAAAATAGTGAAGGACCACTATCAGTAACAGAGAGTAACAATAAATTTTAAAACTTTTCATACACCCTGAAGGAAAAAAGGGTGTAAGGGTCTGTTCAGTTAGAACTAGAAGGGGCTTCACAAGAAACTTGGTAGCTTATAATCTGTAAGACAGCTGACAGTCAGTATTTAATTCATTTTTTTAAAATGAACCTTCAATAGACTTAGAAAATAAGTGATTTTAATTATCAGCATATTGCTCCAATTGCTTTGCTTGGAAACATTTCCATATGCTATGGTGATTATTTTCACTCTAAGAATGGTACAAACATCAACTCATCTTACCCAAAACAGCTCTGGAAGTCCTTTTCATAACGTTTACTGTCAGTGAATCGAGAACTTGAGGATTTAGCTCTGCAAATACAGCAGCCCTCTATACTTCGGTACATCTTTGGCTTGTGAAAACCAAACATCTTTTCTTCTGGTCAATAGTCTGTGAAGTCAAGGGAATTGACACAGCTTTGTTGAAGGTTGTAACAACAACAACAAAAAAAACAATAAAACAGTTTTTTTCTGTTCCACCCTCCTACCCTCTAAGCAACTTGCTGTTTTATGACCAAGTAAAACAGGCAGGATCTGAAAGACCTCCTGGATTTACCTCCATTCTTGGCACTATTGTGGCAAAAGTATAAAACACACAGGAAAGTTCAGTTAGTCAAGGAGACTTCTACTATCTCCTCTACTCTCCTTGGAAAACTCATTCTGGAAACAGGGAAGGCATTTTTGTTTTGTTTTGCATCTTGCAGTGCTGGGGATCAAACCCAGAACCCAGAACGAGATTTTGGAGCCAGGCAAGTGCGCTATCACTGAGCTGCATACATCCCCAGCCCTGGGATCTTTTTCTTTTTAAATCAAATTCTTAAGGAAAAATATAAACTCTCCTGTAATCCTGTAAAACGATGAAATCATAAACAATTAAGAATGCATTCAAAGCTGAAGGCACATATTTATATTTTGTAACTCTGTATTAATGTGATTCCCCTCTGGGGAAGTTTTATGCATTTAAGGGGAAGTTTTATGCTCTTACCATGACCACTACTTGATACTAAGTACACAAGTAGCGCAATAAGCATGAACCCACACTACTGCCTTATGGGAAATCAGGGGGGTTTAGAAATGGGAAGTTCTAAGCAGTCAAATTTGGCCCTGAATTTTAACTCCTGAAAGGAGGATGTAAAATTCACAGAAATTCAAACTTAGAACTTGGGAATAATTCTGTAAGTCATTAATACAAGGTAAAAATGAACTCATGTTGCCTGACCATTGCCCCTTGGTTAGTACACAAGTTTTTGGAGCTAGTCTATGAGGCTCTGTTCCTAACAGCAGTTTGTAGTATGATGTGAATGTTCAAGAAAGTGTACAGTGAAATAAACTGTAATTCCCCTAGTCAAAAAAAATCTCAACATCAAGGAAGGAAAAAACATCTTTAGGGCTGCATACAAAACTGTAGATGGCAGTAAATCTGTACCTTAGAAGTAATTTGGAATGTCCAAACCAAAGGCTAACTTCATTAGAACATTTGAACTAATGAAGGTGATTTACAAAAAATGGGCAATGAATACAGAAACTAAACCCCAATGGACGAATCCAAAGGATGTAACTGCATGGGTCCAGCTATAAATGATCACAAAAGCACCATATAAACCACCAACAGATGCCAAACACCTTTGTGCCTGTAATTTTAGGAGTGACAGCCACAGAATATCACCCTTCAGAAGTTGTTTTAGAAACTTAAATATAAACAAAACAAAAACTTCAGTATTTGTCTTTGGATCATCTCACGTGATCCATTCCATTCCAAACCATTGTGAATCAAGTATACTAGACAGAGCAAGTTGTAATGGAAGTGATTAAGAAGTAACCAAATATCCAGGGGTTTTTGTGTGTGTATAAAATTTTTTGACATTGAAGAGTTCAAAAATATGGACAGAAATGTTCTTAATGCTTAAGAAAATAATTTTAAGTCAAGCATCGGTGGCTCACACCTATAATCCTAGCTACTCAGGAGGCAGAGATCAGTAGGATTATGGTTCCAGGCCAGCCTGGGCAAATAATTCTACAGATCATATCTTGAAAAAACCCAAGACAAGAAAGGGCTGGCAGAATGGCTTAAGATGTAGGCCCTGAGTTCAAACCCCAGTACCACAAAAAAAAAAATTATAATAATTTTATTCTTTTAAGAAAATAATCTCAAAGATTTTATTAGCTAATAATTAGGTAAAAAATGGAAGCCTGACTTTTGAACAAGCCATTGTTAATCAAGTGCTCCTCTTCAATGTTTTTGTTGATCAGGGATGTAGCCAAAAGGAGGGGGATGAATTTCAATAATTTAGTCTGTTACCTGTAAGAATCATTATTTAGCAGATTAACATTTTAGCTAAATGCTTGGAAATATTTTTCCAAAGGGGAAAAAATGAGGAAGGCACCCTTTACATAGAAAGAAAAATAGTGAGACCTGTTAAAATTAGGCAGAATTTTTTTCACTGTAGTCACATGAACACTGAAAAGAAAATGGTCATATGTTGCTTGGGGGGAAAAAAAATCAAAGGACAGGATTCTAAAAACAAAAAGACAACTTTATGCTTCTATTTGCATATTCCTATTTTAAGGCAAAATGTAACACAGTGCATATCCTTAACTCTTGTCTTCAAACTTCCCAACACCTTGCCATCAAGGTCAAAAGTCCACAGTTCCTCTTACAGTCATCAATAGCTTTAGGAAACTTCAGCCTTCCTTCTCAGCAAGGACAAAGGAAGTACATAGAAGAGGGGGAGGGCACACACAGAGCAAATCCTATTACAATAGTTAGATTCTCCAATCTCCACCCTCAGAATCCTCTTCCTTCCCCCAAACAAAACTATAGCACTCAGATCATCGCCAAGACATGAGCTGCCTTCACTGAGGCTGCATTTGGCCAAGAAGCCCTAGGTTTGTGCCAGTTACCGCATGGCAAGCTATAAAGGAATGTTATGACTATAGCTAAAAAACAGTGAGGCTTTCCTTCTAACCAACAGCCACTGTGAATCAAGTTTCATCACCAATTTTTCTGTTGGTGGGGACAAACACAAAACTTACCCACCAGCTCCTAGCAAGACATTCCATTCTTCATTTGAGGAATATTCTCCTTAAACACCAGGAAAAACAGTCTGTTATCTTATGATGCATAATCCTTCTTTTATGTTGCTGTTGACCTGATTTGGCCCTGGCAAAATTTGTCTGCCTCAACATGAGAAGGATCTAAACCCTCCGGTTTGCTTCTTCCAGGCAATGCTCAATGAGAAATGGAGGGAGGTAGAGACACTTGTCCTGATGCAACACTGAAGTAGCACATAACCTTTGAATGGATGACTACTTAATAAACCTATTAAACCTTTTCTGAGCAAATCCCTGCCCTTGAGAGGCACCTGGGAATCTGCAGCAAATACACAGGGGTTTCACTTTGGGCTTTGTTTACAGCAGCTCAGTTAAGTAGTGTTTAACCATTCTGAGGTTTGAGGAGCCCTGAGACTAACAAAGTATATTCATAAAATCTACAGGCTCACTTGTTTTTTTCTTTTCTTTTAAATAATAAAACAAAAAGCCCTACCAAATCTCTGGAGGAAAACCAAGGACACAAAATGGCTTCTGAAACCAGGCTACTTAATATATTTGAGAATGAGGGAGGGTGGCAAAATTTGATGAGATTTGTTATTTTAAGCAACTAATGGTTGTTTCTTTAGAATTCTTCTTTCCTAGTCCCACATTTGTGAAACAGTAAATGATTCCCCTAAAACAATCTGTCTTATTTGTTTAAATGACATGATGAGCTATTAACCTAGTTGTGCTTCCTGCATGTATTCTCATAGGCACACTCATCAGCACTATATTTTAAGGTACTTTTCCCACAACCCCCCTCCCACCTCACCTCCCCGGCCCACTCAGTGCTGAGAAGAGAACCCAGGGCCTTATACATGCTAGGCAAATGCTCTACCACTGAGTTATGTCCCCAGCCCATCAGCATGGTTTCAATAGAAGCTAAAACCATCTGCTTCCTAATTGATAAACAGTTATAGTTGAGAGAAGACCCTAATCAACCTCACCCTTAAGCTTGTGTCTGGGGGGAGAGAAGAAAACTAAGCTCTGACATAAAGCCAAAAATCATGAAGGACTTAAAATACTAATTAAAAAATTGTCATTTGTCTTAGCCTGTTTTACATATGTAATAAAAATAGAAATAACTCGATTAGGAATTCTGTGTTAATCACCTTTGTAACATCAGCATCTAAAATGGTGCTAGAGTCTTCTAGAAGTTACTCAATAAATATGCTTAAACTTTTTGAACAACTATCATTTGCTCAATTATAGGAAACATCTATAATTCCAGCACTCTGGAGGCTGAGGCTGAGGGTTTCAGGTTAAGAGTCTAGCCTTGGCTACACAACAAGCAACAACAAATGCATGGAAAAGTCAGTGCCAGTGGCTCACACCTGTAATCCTCACTACTCAGATGGAGGAGCTCAAGAGGATCATAGTTCGAAGCCAGCCTGGACAAACAGTTTGTGAGACCCTATCTTGAAAATACCCATGACAAAAAAGGACTGGTGGAGTGGCTGAAGTGGTAAAGCTCCTGCCTAGCAAACATGAAGTCCTGAGTTCAAACTCCAGTGCCACCAAAAAAAAAAAGCCTATGAAAAAGCACTGAATAGCATTATTTCTTTAGTCCCACCCTAGAATTATGGTTCCATCCAATTTAGGTGAATCTTCTAAATTTGGAGACATTAAAGCTAATAGCTAAATCGGCAAAAGCAGTAAGAGAAATAACTACATGAATAAAATATACATAGATCAAAAAAACTGAAGTTTCAAAATGTAACAGTAAAGTCTAACTCTTTTAGGTGGTTTGTTAGAGCTTTTCCTTCTTTAAACTATGAGTTTCATATAAATTAGTCAGCTTAACAAAAGCATTAAGCATGAGGAATATAACCTTGGTGCTAATGAGTCAAGAAAAGGATGAGGTAAGCCTTTTATATCAAAGATATGAGTAGGGCCAATTCAAATCTAATATGAGACTATGAAGCCAGAGATAAGGAATGATGTCTAATTTTACATCTAATTCAACATATATAAGGTAAGTTTACAGCCAGATGCCGGTGACTCATGCCTGTAATCCTACCTACTCAGGAGGTAGAGGAGAATAACAATTTGATGTCAGCAGGGGCCAAAAAAAAAGAAAAAAGAAAAGCTGGGAGTGGTTCAAGTGCCTGCCTAGCAAGTGTGAGTTCAAACCCGAGCTACAAAAAAAAAAAAAAAAAAACTGACGGTAGATTTACATTGAAGGAATGCTAGATTCCAGGTCACTGACCTGGGAAGGATGAGAGGCAAGTTCCAGGCCAGTCTGGGTTACACAGTGAGACCCTGTCTCAAAAGAACCAACCAACAACAAACAAGAAGTTT